ATGATGAGGATAATGGTAATATACTGGTGATGACGATGATGATGTACTGTTGCTGATGTACTGATTACGATGATGATGATGATGACTATTATAATGACGATGCATTGATAAAGATTATTATGATGTTGATGACCACGATCATGACGATGATTATGCACTGATGAATATGAAAATTATTATGGTGGTGGTGGTGGTGGTGGTGATGATGATGGTGGTGATGATGATGATGATGACGACGACGATGATGAAGAAGAAGATGATGATGATGATGATGATGATGATGATGATGATAATGATGATGATGATGATGATGATGAAAACGTACAATTGTGTTATACATAAAACACAAGCAAATGCCAAAATTATTAATTGCGAGAGCTTAACATTTTTTGTCATACTGTTGTATCTTGAGCTAGCAATTTTATTAAGGTGGGTACGATTTAAGTTCACCGAAGAGCTTTATTTCTCGGAATGTTTGTTTTTTACATGTTCAATGTGGCCATACCACGTGACTTTTCGGGTACGGAGCACGCCGACTTTTCACCCGATTCAGGTATGTTTTTTATTTATAACTTATTTATTACTCAACCGATTTTGATCAGATAAGGCGCAGAGTACCCGTAATTATATCAGCTTTCCACGGTATATCAAAATTCTGAAAACCCCTGAATGGTTTTTGAGAACATTCGAGTACAGTTTTCTTCTCATAGCCGGACCCGAGGGGAACGGTACACACTCATTTGTCAAAACAAGCGATTTCTAGCAAGTCATATGTTTTTTGGTATGTTTGTCACTATTTCATAGAAAAATACATGTTAAATCTGATACATTTGTATTTTTACTATGTCCAATGTATTACGGAATGCCGTTAGGGTCATCGCCTATGAATGTGTTGATCTGAAACGCGATAGTCGATAGTACGATGATGAAAACGCGAAATCACGAAACTACGATGGTGAAAACGCGAAAGTACGATGATGAAAACGCGATAGTACGATGATGAAAACGCGATAAACTATCGTGTTTTCACCATCGTACTGTCGCGTTTTCATCATCGTAGTTTCGTGATTTCGGGTTTTCATCATCGTACTGTCGAGTATCGCGTTTCAGGTCAAACCATTGATAGGCGATGGCCCTAACGGCATTCCGGAATGCCGTTAGGGCCATCGCCTATGAATGTGTTAATCTGAAACGCGATAGTCGATAGTACGATGGTGAAAGCACGAAATCTCGAAACTACGATGGTGAAAACACGATAGTACGATGATGAAAACGCGATAGTACGATGATGAAAACACGACAGTACGATGGTAAAACGCGATAGTACGATGATGAAAACACGACAGTACGATGATGAAAACGCGATAGTACGATGGTGAAAACGCGATAGTACGATGATGAAAACACGACAGTACGATGATGAAAACGCGAAATCACAAAACTACGATGGTGAAAACGCGACAGTACGATGGTGAAAACACGATAGTTTATTGCGTTTTCATCATCGTAGTATAGTACTGTCGCGTTTTCATCATCCTACTTTCGCGTTTTCATCATCGTACTTTCGCGTTTTCATTATCGTACTTTCGCGTTTTCACCATCGTAGTTTCGTGATTTCGCGTTTTCACCATCGTACTACATGTATCGACTATCGCGTTTCAGATCAAAACACATTCATAGGCAATGGCCCTAACGGCATTCCGTAATGTATCGAGTGAATGCAGTGATGTTTTAGCATATTTTCATACAGTTATGTTGAAATAGTACGGAGCACACTGTTATTTCAAAAGATACGGTACACACACAATTTCTGTCTTTGAAATAATTCTAAAATAAAATATATGAAAATTTAATTTAAATTATAATGTGAGTAATTTTTTTTTCATAGTTATACATTTTATTAATTTAAACGAGAATCCTGGGACCTGTTTTGCAATGTATCATTATGCTTACAGTTTGATGTAAACAGGATTATTCAAAAAATAAAAGAACATTTTGAGAGTATACACCGGGCAGAATTCGATTTTAAATTTTGAGCAATTAATTTTTGGCTATAAAATGTAAATATTAAGTATGTAAAATTTTTAGGGAGGGATACGGAAGACATTCAAAATTTTGTTTTGTTTTTCATTTGAAATAATTAATATATATGTATATTTTTCCGAATTATAAACGTCATGGACATCTGTTATGTGCGATTATTCTTTCATTTAATTTATTTGTTCGAATAAATAAATGACTGTCTAAACTTAGTATGAATATAAAATACAAACAAGAAGTTAGGAGTAAGTTGGAAATATATGTTCCTTGCAAAATGTTGTTTAAATAATTGAATTTGGAAAATAAACTCTGGTTTGATGCAAGTGGATTTTTTTAAATCACGGAAAGTTTAAAGTATTTTTCTGCCATGTGCACATGATATTTGGTATGAATCATCTGCCAGGGTCCCAAACTAACTGCATGTATTTAAATTATAAGATTATCTACATACGGACAAATATATTCCGCAGTTTTTCATTAGCAACCAAATTAAAAAAGCCGGATAATTTTGAAGAACCATATGGAAACAGGCCTGTTATATAACGTAACGTAGTTTATACAAGGTAACCTTGTAACATATACATGTAAGAATTTTGGTAAAATTAATGGCCTATTCTTGGACTTTTTCATTTAAAGATGCTTTAAAACATGAGTTCATGGATATGTGTGCTTGCCGTGTTGTGTTTAAAAAAAAAATGAATATTTTCTAATAATACCCATTTTGTCAATCAAATGCTATGAATTTTGGAGCTGCGTTCTGTTTTATATACCACATGAAGTAGGTACGAGACCACAAGTGGTTTCAATGTTTCGATTTTTTATGTGAGAAAGTTTTCTAACTACCGTACAGAACGTCGGTCGTTCTACTCAGGTCCGTTCGTACCTTTTATTTAACCAAAGAAGCACTTGTAAACTGAAAGTCGCCACATAATCATCGTCAGTTTTGGGGTGAGCCGTAAACCAAACCAAAAATGACCTATTTTATCCTGAATTATATATATTTTTTAAGCTTCGTGTCTTTAAACATTAAAAATTTAAGCCATGGCAACTACATTTTTTATTTTTTGGTCGTCAGACCAAAAAAATAATGGACGAAAATTTTATCTCGATATGCTTATTTGCAAAAAAAAGTAGTCCAAACCTCGAACGGTTTTACCCTTTTTAAACAACGCCGACAAAATAAAGGGGGAAAACTGCTAAAAATCTCAATAAGGCGCATTAAATTTTTAAGCCTTCTTGGGGGAAGAAAAAAAAATAGTTCCCGATTGGGCAAAATTTTAAAAAATTTGTAATTCTTTTCAAAAACTGTAATTTAAACTCCATGATTTCTTTCATAGTTAAACGAAAATTATAAGGGGTTTCAATTAACCCTTCATTTAGAATGATATGGTTTCTTAGGGTGTATTTATAAATTCCCGTTGGAAGGTTTAAAGCTGTTAGAAGAGGGTTCCACAGTTAAAAACCATTAATGCAGCTCATGTTTTATTTAATTGTTTCAACCAAATAAACATTGAATTGAATATCAGGTTGCAATAGGCCTTATAGCCAATTTACTACAGTTATAACACTGTAAAACAGCATTGGTGGCACTATACAAAAACAAATTGGTTTATAATCTCACAACCTTCACCTTTCTTACATTCTGAGACCCAAACAAATTCCGCGCCTTCAGTGCTTTGATTTAATTAAACATGACCATGATATTGCAATATTGTACCTAGTGACTTACTTATTATTGACAAAATATAAATATATATAATGTTATCAAGTTATGATATTTTCAGCGATTTATGTCATGACATTGTTTTATTTTTTATGATGAAGCAAAAAGACATATATCTTACACTTCACTAAAACTAAAAGAAATTAAAAAAAAAAAAACAACAGCAACAATAAACAACAATAAAGACAGCATTATAACAACATTTCTTTGTATAGAACAATCATTTTAAACGCAACTACCTGATTATATGAAGATCGAAGTGTTTAACATACCCTAGGTGATTTTAAATAGGACAATTACATGGAGATTGTAAATGTTAAGCGCGATCTCTTGAAATATAATGCACAAATACATATAAACATTTAAAGTATAATGATACATTGCAAAACAGGTCCCAGGGTTCTCGTTTAAATTAATAAAATGTATAACTATGAAAAAAATCACTCACATTATAATTTAAATTAAATTTTCATATATTTTATTTTAGAATTATTTCAAAGACAGAAATTGTGTGTGTACCGTATCTTTTGAAATAACAGTGTGCTCCGTACCATTTCAACATAACTGTATGAAAATATGCTAAAACATCACTGCATTCACTCGATACATTGGACATAGTAAATATATCAGATTTAACATGTATTTTTCTATGAAATAGTGACAAAGAACATATGATTGCTAGAAATCGCTTGTTATGACAAATGAGTGTGTACCGTTCCGTTCCCCTCGGCCCCGGCTATGAGAAGAAAACTACTCGAATGTTCTCAAAAACCATCCTGGGGTTTTCAGAATTTTGATATACCGTGGAAAGCTGATATAATTACGGGTAGTCTGCGCCTTATCTAATCAAAATCGGTTGAGTAATAAATAAGTTATAAATAAAAAACATACCTGAATCGGGTGAAAAATCGGTGTGCTCCGTACCCGAAAAGTCACGTGGTATGTTACGTGAATACATTTTTCTGACGCATGAAGGTGTCAATAAACCTCTCATTTCGTTCGTAAACAGCCGATTTTATTAAAAATTTTATAATTACAGGACTGCTCAGTGTGAATAATGGTTATCGTATTTTAAATAAAGCTTCATACCTATCCTAGTGTGTTTTTTTACGATGTGTTATATGTTTTCAAAATTGGAAACTCACGGGGCACCCATAATTATCAACATCAGTTATTTATGAACCAGTGCTTTAATCACTAATGCACTTTATCGACTGTCTAATTGGTATTTTTTCAGAATTTCTACGAGCGTGTTACTGGTTGCTTGTATAGTAGGTGGTCTGGTTCTCCTGGCGCTGGTTACCGCTATTGTAGTATGTTGTTATAAGAGCTACAAGGATAAGCAGGCAACCAGGGTACGGACATTGCAACAACATCAACAAGATATGAACGGTATTTTTTATTTCACATATTGTAATTTATCTGTTAACAGATAATACATGTGAAATCTTTAAATCAAGTAGTTCATATATCATGCATCCTGTTTAAAAATCTTTATTACAAATAAAATAGCAGTATAACAGAATGGTCAGACTACATGGATGTGGCATAACTGACTATATACAATATTCAGCAATATTTTGATTCGGGCGGATAAGAGATCTAGCCTATTCAGACTACATGGACGTGACTGGCCTGGCTATATAATGAATATAGTAGTATCAGAGTCTGGTCAGTGTACATGGACGTGACTGGCCTGGCTATATGATGAATATAGTAGTATCAGAGTCTGATCAGTGTACATGGACGTGACTGGCCTGGCTATATGATGAATATAGTAGTATCAGAGTCTGATCAGTGTACATGGACGTGACTGGCCTGGCTATATGATGAATATAGTAGTATCAGAACCTGATCAGTGTACATGGACGTGACTGGCCTGGCTATATGATGAATATAGTAGTATCAGAGTCTGATCAGTGTACATGGACGTGACTGGCCTGGCTATATAATGAATATAGTAGTATCAGAGCCTGATCAGTGTACATGGACGTGACTGGCCTGACTATATAATGAATATAGTAGTATCAGAGCCTGATCAGTGTACATGGACGTGACTGGCCTGGCTATATAATGAATATAGTAGTATCAGAGCCTGATCAGTGTACATGGACGTGACTGGCCTGGCTATATGATGAATATAGTAGTATCAGAGCCTGATCAGTGTACATGTACGTGACTGGCCTGGCTATATGATGAATATAGTAGTATCAGAGCCTGATCAGTGTACATGGACGTGACTGGCCTGGCTATATAATGAATACAGTAGTATCAAAGACTGATCAGTGTACATGGACGTGACTGGCCTGGCTATATGAAATGAATATAGTAGTATCAGAGCCTGATCAGTGTACATGGACGTGACTGGCCTGGACTATATAATGAATATAGTAGTATCAGAACCTGATCAGTGTACATGGACGTGACTGGCCTGGCTATATAATGAATATAGTAGTATCAGAGCCTGATCAGTGTACATGGACGTGACTGGCCTGGCTATATGATGAATATAGTAGTATCAGAGCCTGATCAGTGTACATGGACGTGACTGGCCTGGCTATATAATGAATATAGTAGTATCAGAGCCTGTTCAGTGTACATGGACGTGACTGCCTGGCTATATAATGAATATAGTAGTATCAGAGCCTGATCAGTGTACATGGACGTGACTGGCCTGGCTATATAATGAATATAGTAGTATCAGAGCCTGATCAGTGTACATGGACGTGACTGGCCTGGCTATATGATGAATATAGTAGTATCAGAGCCTGATCAGTGTACATGGACGTGACTGGCCTGGCTATATAATGAATATAGTAGTATTAGAGCCTGATCAGTGTACATGGACGTGACTGGCCTGGCTATATAATGAATATAGTAGTATCAGAGCCTGATCAGTGTACATGGACGTGACTGGCCTGGCTATATAATGAATATAGTAGTATCAGAGCCTGATCAGTGTACATGGACGTGACTGGCCTGGCTATATAATGAATATAGTAGTATCAGAGCCTGATCAGTGTACATGGACGTGACTGGCCTGGCTATATAATGAATATAGTAGTATCAGAGCCTGATCAGTGTACATGGACGTGACTGGCCTGGCTATATATGATGAATATAGTAGTATCAGAGCCTGATCAGTGTACATGGACGTGACTGGCCTGGCTATATAATGAATATAGTAGTATCAGAGCCTGATCAGTGTACATGGACGTGACTGGCCTGGCTATATAATGAATATAGTAGTATCAGAGCCTGATCAGTGTACACAGACCTGATTGATTTTAATATATAAAAATGAAAATTATGTGAGCCTTTTGTTGTAAGATTCCGCGGACATGACCGGTATCGTTATACATATGGAACTAGTGCGATGTGACTGGTCTATATCAGTCAGCATCATAATCATGTTAGAATGGAAATAAATAGAAACAATTTCTTTGCGTTGTTGTAAAATAGTGCACAGTTTAGATCGTTCAAATGCTTTACGGCCTTCGTGATAATATAGTCCTGCGCATTTGGACTGGAACCGTGCATTATTCTACAAGGACGCACTTAAAATTGAAATCTTTTCCCTGAATAGATGCATGGATTTATGGTTTCTGCTTACTTATTTTTAACTTTGATATTACTAGTATATAGATCGAATAAAGTCAATAAAACATTGGATGTTGGTCCGGGCGGACGGGCAAACAGTCGGACGGGCTATCAACACTTGGTCTTCTTTCTTTTATATATTGATATGACATTGACATGAACAAGGAAAATTGAACATTTCCACAGTTGAACCGTCGTTTTATGTGATTTTCTTCTTTTTTATCTAAGATTATGTTCATAAATCATTGGATATAGGCCCGGACGGACGTCGGACGGGTAGATAAAGATAATAGTAATCACTATCGTACATGTTTTCCGTTAACTGACTAGCCATTACAGCTTATTAATAAAAAGATTTATTTGATGAAATTGATTTTAGACTTTTTATAGTTATATTAAGCACGAACGTGATCATTACTGACTTCATAATTATTGTAACTGGCATAATTAAATTCAACATAAAGGTATATATAAAAGCCGGGGGAACTATTGCGGGGGATTCTTTTGAAGTATTTGACCTTCGGTTTTCAAACAAACGTGTCTTTATTATCGGCCTGGTATAGTTCATATTTGAATAGAACGCTTACTTAAATATACGTGTAGACCATTGAATGGGTAAATGCTCGGATATTACGGATCGAGTGTCTTTAATTACAAATTATTGTACATGAATCCATAAGAAATAAAGAATCTTTAAAAGAACTCAGTCTTAAATAGGTACAATATAAAATTTAATATAAATAATAAGTTTAAAATTATACTTTATTGGCAAATTTCGGGTTGAATTATAACTAGTTAAGATGTTTTATATTGTGTAAGATTTAAAAGTTTTATAAAAAAAATAAAATAGATACATTGAGAGAAAGTAATTTCTACCGTACTTATTTGAGATTCCTTTCTATATAGTCAATTATGTGTTTAATTCTGCCACCTATCATCAACGTTTAATGTTATGTGGCATCTATTTGACTTTAATTACAATGAATGTGACATGCTTGGTATGGAAAGGTTAGATAAGTTTTTACCCAGTTTTGAGATAAAGTTGTCTTATGATTATTATACATGTATGATAGACTTATCAAATGGCTGAATTAAATTAATTTTTGTACTTTATTTTCAATTAATTTCCAAAGAACAGTTATGCATTCCAAGCCGGACATGTCAATTTCATATATTCACAATTGTAGATTAACATAGGTCAGTTAGATTGAACTATCTCATATTAGATAAGTCGGTTTGTTCAGTTTATTTAAGATGTCATTTTCATTTAATTACAGCTCCTCGAGTACCAGGGGTAGAACCTCCAAAACCACCGTCATATGTATCCGCACCACCAGCATACAGCGAGGAAATGCCCGAATCTCACTTCCGTCCAGCAACGGTAACAGGAAATGTACCATATAACCAACGGTTTAGGGGAATAACCCCTACGGCTCGCGGCAATGCCCAGGGGGCCATCAGCATGACTATGAATTCCGGCAGACATCCTGCCACGCGTTCTTTTCGAAATGTTCAAATCCCAGGGACTGTGGAGACCGAGGCGCCTCCTCCGTACACTGAATTCATTCGTGGTCAGACCCCGGCACACAGACGCAGACGATTTATACGAACACCCGTAGAAGAAGCAACCGAACCTGCAAATCAGCATAATTCTGTTATAAGGACAGAACAGGAAAATACTGACATTCTCTCTGAAATAGACGAAAATGAATCACGTAATCAAGGCAGTTCCATTCAGCCGTCACGGGCTGCCACGTCACGTGCCATAGAATCGAGAGCTACCGAATCACGTGCTGTAACATTTCGTGCTGATGAATCACGTTTAGAAACTATACGGGACGTTGAATCACGCGCAGAAACAGTAGCACGAGTTCTTCGACCCTCAAGAATATCTCGCATTCCAACACGTGTACATGGCATTCAGTCAAGGCAATTAAGTGACGTGCAATCATGTGGTTCTTCTATTTCAACTCGCCAAACATATTACTCTGAAGTCAACCCGAACACGGATGGAAGAAGAAATCAAAGTGTAGTTAGGGAAAATATTGATTTGTCTGATATATGAAAGTGCCAAATAAGATGTATATATGCCGTCCATCACGGTCTACAATACCTTATTCGTAACTAAAAATGTTATGCATTTCAGCTTTTATTCAGGAAGTGTCAAAGCTAAGATAGCAGCACATGGTTTTAATTGTTTCATAGAATTTCACAGAAATCACAGAAAGAAAAAAATATGTTATAAATTTGTCGGGTTGAAAAAATGAAGAATGTAATTTTGCTCGATTATACTATAATTATGTTGTCAAAGGACTTTGGTGTCATTGTATTTTGGGCAAATTTTTTAGTAAACATTTGAGCACAAGGTGTACACATATAAAGTATGTTAACGAAAACATGGCTATTTGTTAAAGGTAGCCTTTTTATTCTCTTTATTTTTAATCCATTATTTATTAATTTTGTTGAAATAAGTTGCTGGACAACTAAAGGAGTCGCTGGCGACACCAATAGTTATTGTTTATTTTATGTTGTCGTGTTACTGTGTACTAACTTCATACATCCAGGTGGAGGTATCGTTTGAACTTTCTAAACTTATTTGGTTTTAATAATCAGAAATAAAAAAAAGTTAAAAATTGAAAGAAATTTGTTTATTTACATCCTTTCACAATTGACACCATAAACCATACTTCTGATGGTTTTATCCCGGAACCTGCGTGAACCAAAACTGATTTAGTCTTTACCATCAGTATGGAGTCATGAGCCAGATATATGGCAATCCTGCGTTGTCCGTTTCCGACAATCGGACACAGGTTCGAATCCTATTTATTGTTAATCTTTGGTACTAGTATCGAATCCCGTTATTGTGATAGTTTAAAAGTTTAAATGATATTGCCGGCCGGAGAAACCAGTTTCTGTGACTCTAAGAATATTTTTTCATAATGACTTAAAATATTGTTGTATTTTTATTTGGGACCCAAATAAAAGTACCAAATATGTAGGGTAAGAAATTTTGGAACAAAATGTAAAAAAAAGCGTTTTATTTTCAAAAATTGTTGTATTTATCTATTGGTGTTATTTTAACATTATTTCTTATAGCATTACAATACTAGACAACTTTTTCAACAATTTTAGTATCAAAATTCCCTTCCTACTTCCGATATGTTTCTTAAAGATGTGAAAGAGGTATGCATTTCAATTTCACCGTATGCTGATAGATTTATCACCTCAATTGGTTTATACAGTCATGAAAAATAATAAAAAAGTCGAGAAAAGTATAAAAAAAAAAAGTTAAATAAAATAAGAAAAAAAGAAATGAAATGAATTTTTTCTTAAAAAAAACTAGGTCATATTCTCGTAGTGTTGGAAATAATAAGAAAACTGTTTGCGTAGACATTAACACATTTAAGAAGCAGGATTTTCAGAGGAAATGGTGCGCTTTTTACATACAAAAGTATTTCAATTTATTTTTTTACTCTTCAAAGCTGAATTTATGTTATATTATTACATACAGGCGCATTAGTCTTAGACAAATCATTTTTAAAGATCACTGAAACTGGACCGTCTTTGAAACAAGGCATCTAACGATAATAATGCCTTGATAAATTGATAAAAAATTCGTATGTTTTGAACATGATAAGATTAAAACTAGCATATTAGTTCTTCAATTATTTCATTGCGTTTTTCATGGTAAAAAGTAAGTTCTCCATGCAATTAATGCGGAGGCTGGACACACGAAAATTGGGTTCCAATTCCGATAAGCACATGCTTCAATCGCCAACGGTAGCAGATGTATACGTATACGTGTACATGAAAATCCAGTCTTAAAGCTGAAAGAAAAGGTTATGTCTTGAATGAAAGTCTGTGAAGTTTGCACAGAGATCTACTTTAAACATAAGCCCGGCATTTGGTGTCAGTGTTGAGCTGGAATAGGAGGCTTGCAAGACATTCAGCTTAACATTCAGCTTGATATTCGTTTTTGCCTCTTTTTATTGTCATATCATGATTACAAATAAACACTTTTATATCACAGAAACTCAATATCAAATATGTCTTTTAGTGATCAATACGCACAAGTATATGTACTCATTTTTTGTCATTTTCCTTTCCTTTTTATGCGGCAGAGCGAAAATGACGAAGTAGATTGAATACCCGAGGAGCAAATATAGTGACTTTATGTACCACACTTTTTTTGTTTATTGGTTAGGTTTTTTTTCAAATTCAGCATTGATATAATATCAAATGACAGTACAAAATTACAGTTTTGTTAAGTCGTGTTAAAAGCAAGTTGTTTTTTAATGAAACAGAAAAATGTGCTTTTTTATTTACCAAGAAGTACAGAAAATTTAATAAAAGTGAAAAAGAAAAGATAGTCACTAGTAAATTAGCCCACTGTATAATGCCAATAGTTATAAAATATCATATTGGAATTTTATACGAACTTTATTTCGGTATTATTTGAATTCAGGACGTGTTCCAGGTTTTAACTTAAACATGTAGGTCCATCATTTAAATATCATAATATTTATACCATAAAAAATAATCAGACAAGGAAAACATATATACTGAAATTATCCGCGGATGTTAACAGACAGGCATTAACTGTATATCAACTTGCAAAGTTTCAAACGATAGACAAATATTAATATTAATTGTCTTCAAAGTTTAATACAATGGTTCAATGATTGTTCATCATAATTGTTAAGCCCAATTGTTTTTAAAATCAGATTTTATCCAATATTGAAATATAATACGTGCAATCATGTTAGCTTTTTGCATATCACGCGAATAATTTTCAGTTTGTTAATTTATGTCATGTTAAGAACGTATGAATCAAACATGTGTATTATCTAATCAAGTCGAAATATCTATAAAAATTACAAAAAAATTAAACACTTCAAGTTAAAAAGTCGAACATTTTTTTCATTAATTCAACTTAAAAAAATGATGAATGGACTATTCAATAAAAGAATCTGAAGTTGTAGAAGTTGTATGTTTACTATCCGGCTATTGTCAATTCTGTGGATCAGAATCTGAATCAAGATGTCAAGTTGTACTGTGAAAAATTCGACGGACATAACTTGTGATTATGGCTGTTGTGGCACGGAGGCAAACAGAACTTGTTGTGAGTTTACGTAAGTATCGTGACCTTCTGTGTTCATGTGTTGATTTTTCACAAGTCTGGCATTAAACGTTTAATCACCTGAATTTCTTAAATTGACTTGTCCAGCTTCCATTTTAGTGCTACATAGAGCAATTCTGAGATCTCTTCTATTCCACGCATTTAGACTACGAATAGTGCTGGCTCTGTAATCGGTGTAACTGCCTGATAGAGATCCACAAAGATAATTTTTTATGATGATAGAAGATTCATTGCATACACAATCGCATGACGAAAAAGATATAATGTTTCGATACAATAATAATGATATCTCCCTTTTGTATGTATGTCCGTCTGTTAACCTTTAGTCTCTCTGTTCGTCCACCCGACTGTCTGTCTGTTTTTCAGATCGTCCGTCTCTCAATTTGTCTACAGAAATGACATTTTGTGGTTGTAAAAGTTCTTTTTGATATACCTTTAACCTTGTTTGAACATCTTTTTACTTGGTATTGCTGGTTTTTGTCACTCCGTCCGTTGTCAGTTTTGACTTGATTCTATGAAAATTATGATAAAATTATATTTTTTGAAAGGTACTGAAATCGTTGGACGTAGAGAGCAGATAACTACTTCTGTTCGCTATCAGTTTCTCTACTTGTTATAGGGTTGGTAAGCGAACAGCATGGATCCTGATCAGACTGCGCGGATGCGCAGGCTGGTCTGGATCCATGCTGGTCGCAAACCCATTATGTTGGTTTTGTCATGACGCGGCTCATCTGTTCTTGGTTCTGTTTTTGCAGGTTATCCGAAAGTGTTCTTATTGTGATCTGCGTCGTTGGAGCGCTCGTTGTTGTTGCTATTGTTGTGGCGCTTATCATATGTTTGACGAGTAAACAGAAGAACAGAGTAACACAAATAGGACCACGAGAACGTCGCATTATGCGAGGTGATTTAGGTGAGCATTTTTATGCATGTCATATTTTCTGATGCATAAGGATGATTTCTCTCTTCCCCTCGGTACGTCTACGTCGTTGAGAAGACACAGGGCATCGGCAGAAAATTTGAAGACTATCCTGACTAAAGCCGAGGAGAGTGTCCCTACAAAGTAGGCGCTTGAGTCGACGAGAATGATCTGCTAAGGTGCGTGAGCCCTTAACACGGTTAGACGGCTTGAATGGCAGGCCTTTTGCTGGCACCAACAGCCCTTTTCAGGGCTTCCCTTAAATATTGTCACAGGTTACTGTACATTTAGGTTCTCATTGACCGCCTAACAGTGACCTATTTTTGACTCAAAATTCATATCTTTGGCTAATACTCCGTGGAAATTGCATTGAGGTAAATTATCACCACTTTGTGCTTCAAAATTAACTGGTGACATGTCTGGGGTCCGTACTCGACAGCGAAAGCTGCATTTTGTGCCCTTGCGGGCGGTTGAACCCTCATTAAACATAGACTATATACATGCATTAGGATAAAAGATGTTAGTAAATGTACAACATATTATAATTATATGTACTGAACGTCTTTCCCGAAAAAGATAATGAATAATACTTGGTATTATTGATTTGTGTCTGATTTTTTTTGCGGGGATTATTTCTTTAGTTTCCGTTAAATCAATACGATTTACAAATTGGCATTTAATCTTGATGTTTAAAAAATAATAGTTACGGACCTATGCCGGATATGGCATGGATGATCGTTAAGTATGATGTCTCTGTAATTGCAAAGTTACAAGGTAGAATCCTCAAATCTAACCCATATTTTAAAGAATTTCTTTGACTATTTAAAAACAAATATATGTAGAATTAGTGGAGATATGCCTGGTGTCTATTTTCGTGAAAATTTCACAACTTTTACAGATAAGTAATTCTCCACTTATTTCAATATCATGTGATGACGTATGTAATGAGAGTTTCATAACTTTCACAAATTAGAAAACATTAAAAATAATGCTTCAACAAGATCCGATTACTACAATTCACTCTCAAAATACATATTATTCTATGATAAGGTTGAGTGAAAATAAGTCATTTTATGAAAGAATTCTTGGATAGAAGAAAAATAAATATATTACAGAAAGAAAACGTTGGAGAAACTCAAAACAAAAGTAAACCAACATATTTTGGAATTACCTTAGAAAGAAATCCGAAAGTTTTGGGAAAATATAACAGTAGAACAGTTGCTTATATAAGTAACGTTTTTGTTGCTTATTGTTATCAGAAGACAAAGATTTTTTGTGATATAATGATTTTATGAATGAAAATGCATTTTTCCTAGAATTAGACCAGACGCTTTCAGTTTGAGAAATTTTAACTGCTTTAAAAGTTTAATAAATGTAAAAAACGATACCTAAAGACATATTCAATTTGATTTGAGAGAATAAACAAGTTCAAAAATATTGATTGTAAAAAGGACGGTGAATATAGACTTATAAGACAAAAAATGTATGAATTTTAAAACAGTAAGCCAAGGAAACATTTGAGAAACATTTAAAATTATCACAGTGGTCTGATATACGTGTACAGGGTAACAAGTTTTACATATTTTAGTTACCCCATAAAAACCTGTTTGTAATTAGAGTCGTAGGGTACTTTTACATATTTGTCCAAAACTAGGAAAGACCAGCTAGTGATTCTTGGCAAACAACTTGTTATGTCTTGGTCTTTTCTGTTTGTTTCTGTTCTACTTTTAAACCCAGTTTTTGTTTGTTTATGTCGCACAAACACAGCATTATGAATTAGGCCATACGTTTTAACCCATTTAAGGGCATATACCTTAATTTTACTACATTTAAAGGTGTTTTAGCTTGTTGTCTTTGAATATTTCATATTTAATATTTTGTTTCAGTGTTGTACATTACGCCATTAGAAGAATACAATACTGAAACAACTATACACTTATACGCTGTACGTGTGTGTGCAGTAATAATGGAAAATACATATGTAATGTTATCACCAATCCTGAAATATGATATGTGATATTTTTCTGACGGTCACGCTATCTGGGAAACATATATTTTGCGTTTATTATGATCTAAGTCATGTTGCAAATGTTGAAAATATTGAGATATTTCGTAGGGAAAAGGGCATTAAAGGAAATTATCTCTTAAAAAACATAGTCTAATATATATGTCATTATTTCAGAACCTCGAAGAAGGCGTGTTGGCATTCCAAAACCACCCCCTTATTCTGAAGCTCCTCCCCAATATGATTCTTTGCATTTTAACGACGACTCAAGGTCAAATCCACGATCAACCGATCCAATATTACCGGGACATATAAGAACTAATGTACAAGGAGCAAGGAGGCAACGTTCCGACAGACGACAGAACCCGTCAGCAGAAGAACAAAGTATAAGTCGTTTTGAACCACGTGACGCACCACCCTCCTATATAAGTATTATTCAAGTTGAATCTAGAGAGAATGAAAATCGCAGAACCTACACACCTGAAGCTGGAACTTCCGGTTTAGGAAACAATGGTGGTAGTAGTTTGAGTAATAACTATGGTGCAACGCCATTATTTGTAACGGGTCAAAACCGCCAAAGTTCCCCTCACCCAAGCTTAGCTAGTGGAAGAATATCAACTTCAATGTATAACGGGGCCGTTGAAAATAGAACATTTCACAGAACTGCAAGCGAGAGAAGCCATCAGTTATCATCGCACATAACTGTTAGCAGACACCACGGTATGAACAATAACTCAGTTTCACCGGTAACGATAAGGGAAATAACTGTACATAGTCACGTCATTAGAAATAATCAAAGTACGGAAACAAGTAAAAGCAAAGGAGGCAAAACAAAAGGAACTAACATTCACACCAAAATTCCACGTCCAATAAAACCAAATGGGCCAACACAAATAGATAACAATTTAAACGTTGGATCTAGCGTTAATACCGGACTTGGTCCTGACGCGTTAGATGATGCTAACGACCTTCTTCGTTTAGGAGAGTCACCACCACCGATTAACCAATCAGCTGCGGCTAGAAGTGCCAAAAGACGAACAGTTATACAAAAATTACAGCAAAGGAAACAAACCTCATCACTTACACCCGTGGAATGAGAAATGCATCACTTACCCCCGTGGAATGAGAGTTGCGATTATTTCGCTGGCGAAATAGATTATTTACAAAAAATTTCACTTTCTACAGCGTTGAAGAAGAAATTATCAGCGTTAATGGGCTATAAACTACTATTTCAAAAAGGCAAACAACTAAAACAAACGTTAATGCGTTACTAACTTGAAGAAATCAGATACAGGGAAAGTAAATGCTTTGTCAGACAAAAAAGAAAACTTCAAAAGCAGTTGTTTCATTCACAACGCTTATGGTGATACCGAACGTAATATATATAGTTTCATTTTTTTGTCTTTCTTTGTCAAATCACTTGGTATAAGTGCAGTGTGTGGTTTAAAAATGCTGTAAAATATAAACTGCAACAAACAGGGAAGACGATCAGACAAGTTAGCTAGATGATCGTACATCATGTAATAGATTGTTGACATAGCAGAACATTATATGTATATAACAACATACGCTTCATTAATAAAATGACAAATAAGTACAGGGTATTGCCTTTAAATATACAATAAACAATACCGCTTGTGGTGATTTTAGAAACTTAGACCACCAAGACAAAGATAAAAAGAAACACAATTTCCATTTACTTAAAAGTATTTATTTAGCTGTACCAGTATTACCATATTCTCCAAAAATTACTGAAAATTGTTCTTTATTTATTTGAAGTTGAATCCTTTCACACTCAATCTATTATTTCAAGGTGTCAAACAGAACCTGCACCTCGCCGAAGCTCAAGCTCAAGGCCAAATCTCTATAGACCTTTAAACTTGCTTGCGAAGCTTAGCGGGTGGACTTAGCTTCTTTTTTAATTTTGAATGTTAGATTAAAAATGTAAAAATATAGATTAACAATGAAATATCAGCAAGTAACAGCACACCTACTAAACGGAGGTTCTTACACCTCAACTTAATCAATGCAGAAAAAAAGACCAACAGTGTTTCTAAAATTATCCTATAAAAGAACATGCTTGTTTTACAAAAATGGGAGAATGTTATTCCACGAAGAAAGAACATTTTTTTAGCAATTTCGATACTCTAGAATGACCTTGCTAGACCTTTTATCAAATACGAACTTGTGTTTTTTCCTTCACGTAGTTAGACATAGACATATGAGCCGCGTCACGACAAAACCAACATAATGGGTTTGCAACCAGCATGGATCCAGACCAGCCTGCGCATCCGCGCAGTCTGATCAGGATCCATGCTGTTCGCTATCAGTTTCTCTACTTGTAATAGAGTTGGTAAGCAAACAGCATGGATCATGATCAGACTGCGCGGATGCGCAGGCTGGTCTGGATCCATGCTGGTCGCAAACCCATTATGTTGGTTTTGTCGTGACACGGCTCATATCTTTAGTGATTTGTTAACCTTGAAAACCTTGAAAGTTAATATCTGCCCACTTTATCGTACATTGAACATCAATAATTGGCATATCCTCGTAAAAGTAAACAAACAATTTCATTTCTTGTAAAAACTCTAGCAACGTTATTTTGGAGTTATTTTGTATCGAAATTGCATTCAAAATGATGAAAAAAATGTTCTAGGTGACAAAGAGTTCGTCTATTGTTTTAAAAACAAACATGTTGTTTTAATCGGATAACTTTATAAACACTCTTTGTCTTTTTTTGCATTGATAAAGTCGAAATTGAAATCATTGCTTGTGTGTCTCGAACTCGTACACAACCTCCAAAAGTTTGATTAGTCACTCAGTTTCCCGATTACACCCTTAATACACAATATGATTGCCGCAAGTTAATTCTAAATATATATATATCGAATTTGCTCTCACTATTTTACGAATTAGTCCATTTTATTGTTTTAAAAAACACGCTTTGGGTTTTTAATCAGACTGTATAAATCATTTTTGTGTCCGTTATATTTATTTTCGATACGCACGATTCGTGTGCGAACTACCAGTAGCAGTTACTTCCCATGATAAGTACATAAGATAGCGAATGATAAATGGACTTTTCTTAAAGAAATAGTTACCTGCGTACAGTTAGTATTGAGAAATATTCTTGTAGAAAAGTAAAATATGTAAAACATGTTTATTTAGAATCTAAGTAATCCATATAGTTTCTGTATGATTGCAAAACGGTGCTAGTATTTCAACATCTTTGTGAAATCGTGTAACTTTAGACATACATTTAACATACATCCAATATAAAAATATATTTGCTTAGACTGACACAATGATATCGAACCAAGATACACATCCACCACTGTGTAGATGTGTAGAGTATTCAAAAACTAAGAATTACAGTCAACTGCATTAAAACTGAGGGCCGTGGGTTTAAACCCCAGTAGGCCAAAGTCAATATTTTCTAACCGTTTGTAATTCAACTATTAGTATGTTACCCTTTCTTATAATGCCTAACTCAAGTATATTTTTCATGTGATAATAAACAGTGTATGTGATGATGCCCGTAGTTGTTAAGTTTTTGTTTGTTTGTTTGTATATTTTGTTCCTGTTTATTGTTTAGCTTTTGAACTACTAGCCTTAGCAACATTGATATGGTCCTATGCAGACTGACTTCCCAGTAAACACTTTAGGAGGATGACATCTAAATGCATTTGGCGTGAATTGAATTCACTATGGTGTGAGGAGTAACATTTGTTTCAGATTTATCTGATGATACTTAGTAATTAAAACATAAATGGCTATTTCTACTTATTTTACTGGGACCAGTCACATTTGTGTCTATTATTATAGTAAGTTAATCTACATGACTGTGACAGTGTGACATGTACCTATATATATAGGTATTTGAGCATGATGGTAGATCTATTTTTACTTCCAAATAAGAAAGTACATTTTGTTTTTGTATTTCCTAAAACATTATCTATACTATATTGATAATCTTTCTCGTCTTACGAAAAAAATGTGGAAATGAAATATCAAGATAATTTCGCATGAGTTTATATTTCATGTTAGTTTTCTGTGACATGGTTGATGTCATCTAACGTATTCAAAAATGAAAAACAAAATGTGACATCAAATGTCGCCGAGATTTAATGAATTTTCCTGTGAACTTCCATTCATTTATCTTAGAACTTAAAACAAAAAAAGTACACAATTGAAAGAAAAATCTGTATTGTTTTTACGCCTTTTCTTGAGAATTGTTTTACATTAGACGAGAGGAAAACAATGTTATATGTCTATATAGTAGAAAACAACGACAAAATTCCTCCGCGGGGAAACATTACACCAATTATCGCCAGTAAAAAAAGTGCCGACAAACTTCCAAATAAATTAACCGGTGCTAGAAACAAAACAATGATCAATATTTGCACGTTATACCCTAAATTGTCAAAATTATGGAGGTCTTTTCTTCCTTAGGTAGAACTCAATCCATCAAACTGTCCAAGAACGTCGCGGAGAAAACTCATTAGTTCATTTCTTTTGCGGCGTTCACACCATCACGGGGCTATAATTTGATTAAGAAACGTTTTCTAGACGCTCTCGTAACACCATTAGGCCAAAACAAGACATTGTTTGCCAATATGAGTATTAGTTTCATTCCCCTAAGTGAGGGCTAAACAGTTTATAAATTCTGCACAATCTAATTAAAGGTTTGCAGATTTACACCCGGTACGTACTGCTATAATGAAACGATGATCAACTTCATAATAGTGGTGTGAAACCTTAATAAACTCGCAAAGGATAATTAAATCAAAGACGTTTAATATTTCACCGTTAGGAAAACGTATGGCATACTGGAGCCGTATTTTCCACACGTTGGCATATCCGATTTCCAAGCAAGCCAGAGGGCAAAAAATTCTCATAGACAAAAAAGCACAAAGAACCAAACATGGAGAATGACAAGGAAGAACCAAAGAGCTGCAAACAAACAGCTAACTGATATAACAGATTTCTACCACACTGTCAGGGGCATAATATTCTTCATTAATAGGAAAGATGCATTTAAAATAATATTACATGTATGCTCCTATTTGTTGCGGTCAAGTGAAGGTGAATTAACTATGTATCTATAATAATGGTCATTGATATATGATGATCAATAATTGCTACTAACAATGTAACAAATCAAATATAAAAGCTGATTAAAATATGAAAAAGGCTTAATATCTCACTTTTTTCATCAATTGAAAGTTACCGGTACATTTGGAATGTTACCAAAACTTTTCAAAGGATATTTTCCGTGAGTCACGTGCATGTCAGTCTTTTAAAATATAAAAATGATAGCAAAAAGTAAATTTATTTCGGTATTTATCTGTACACTTATATGATAATATTAAATTCTGTATGGGCATCATGCCATTTTAATACGTATATAATTTAGCTTGAAAACTCAATTTGACACAGACTAACGATTATATACATGTACATGTATATACAAACAACCATTTATATAGGGCCATATGTAACATGTCAATTATCTTTATAACTAATAAATTAATATACTCGTTAACTCGACCTATATTTCGCCGTAATTAAAGTCTCCCTCGGACAACGTACATAGCTATCAATTAGTCTGCCTTTTATTAAATACCACAAACACTGCATGAAGCTTTTCTGAAATGAAAATATGCCGTTCAGTCCGTTTCATTTAATTCGGCACGGAAGACATCTCGGTTACTTCCGTTTACCACAAAACGCGACACAAGGAGTACACTTCCGGCGCACGAGACAAACTAGAATCTTAGTTTCCGGTAGCCATTTGTGTGAATACAAATAATCTTAGTATAATGGGTCATCATTAATGCAAGTAGTCCCTCAAAGAATTTACCGTCAAGTCGTTTGTATACAATTGATAATTCGTAACTTCTTTTGCATGATAAGAGACAAAAATGTCCGTAAATACTAGTCTGAAACGTCTAAATTTATCTTGTTTTTGTACATTAGTGTTTGCTTTCGTCTTTGATTTCTTAACCAAATGAATTACGTATAATAATCAAATACACAATCTATAACCAGTAAAAATAATGCGGAAATTGTGCCAAAGTAACGCCGAATCTTTGTAGGTCTGTGATCGAAAGAAACAACACGGAATCTAAAAATGCAAAAAAAAAAAGAATAACAGTAAATCAAATTGAATGAAATAAGATGCTATATTTTAACCAGGATTATAAATACTTACCAGAAAATCTCTTAACTTTTAAAAATCGTATGTAAGAATGACGACCAGGCTACGGCGTATGTTGTGTTTCGTCGCTGTGAATAAGTGTTATAAAGTATAAACATATTTTAATATTTGATTTTGATTTATCTTACATAGAACGAACTTCTAGTGTTATATATTATTGAAAAGAAGCAGATAAATTGTGATTCAGACACTTTTTATGTGGTAACCAGCGTTGCCTATTTAAATCATTCACGAAATCGGTGTTACCTTTTATCACAATTTATAGATTTGCTTATTTCAGTATTATATGTATAATATTATATATTAAGGCGGGGTAATACTGTAAATTTGTTTGAGTAATCAAAAATAATCTATTTAATTAGAATAAAGATCGTA